TTGGGGTCTATCCTGCCTGAATTTAGTTCAACTTCTTGAATGCTTATCTTCTCATCTTTTAGGATGTTAGGGAAATTTTCTTCCAGAAGCTCTTCAACTATCTATTTTGCGTTTTTGTGTTTGGAAATTCTGATCACCTGCAAGTTATTCCTCTTTATATTGTCCCATGTGAATCTTAGGCTTTCTTAAGATTTTTAAATTCTTTTTTTTCTGAATGTTCTTATAGCTTACTAATATTGAGAGATTTATCTTCTAGCTAATTCTACTTGCTTCAAATCTTTCTTGCCTTTCTAGTATATTTTCCATTTCTGATATCTTAAGAATTAATCTTCTGGATTTCTGTCTGCAGGCTTTGTATTGTCTTCAATCCTTTATTGGTTTGTGTAGTGCTTTTCTAAATTCTTGTTTTCCTTGATTTTTTTGTCAACATTTAGAGGCATCTAAATAGCATCTTTCTGAACTCTTTCTTAGGCAGTTCCAGTACCTTTTTTCCTCAAAAGCATTATCTAGTTCTGCCTCTTGGCCATTTCTTTGAGCTACTGTCTTGCTTTTTCATGTGAACAGATTGTCTGTTGCTTTCTTGGCATTGTTATTGTATTTGTGTTAAGTTGATGAATGTGTGTTGGCGTATTCTTAATGCACCCACCAAGTGCCTTCTGGTGAGTGTGATAAAGAGATGAGCTTGTACTCCGTTCCCTGTTTGCATAGTTCAGTTCAGGGTGAATTTTTCAGATATTGGTTGTTGTCACTGATCCAGTGTATTGACTATAGTCCAATTGGTAGTTGTTGAGAGTATGGCTGTGGCTTGGCTGTATGGCTGCAGCTGCTGGTCTCCTTTGTCTCTGCAAGCCACAGGTAAGTTTCTGCAATGCAAATATGTTTCCTTGTCTCTGAAGCCACTCAGAAACCTTCAAAATGCCTGTTGTAGGTCAACAGCCACCTCCACGCCTGCCGTGTCTACTCAGCTCTCCCAATATGCACTCAATTCACTTCTTTATCCCTTAATCTGAAGCTCAGAGTTCTAGGACTATCCTCTGCATCTATCTTTATCTGGTTTTACATATTCTTGCTGCAAAGGGTCCATACAACCTTTCTGCCTAGGCTGCCATTTTGTCCCCTGGCTTTTTTTTTTTTTTTTGACTGACTACAATACCTAACATATTAACAGATACCCCAGAAACACTGCTTGAGGAGTTCCACTTCTAGGATAATAGTAGCATGATCAGCTTTGTAGATGTACTCCCTAGTGAAAACTATCAGAGCTAGCAAAAACTACAAAAATAAAGCCATAAAAACATTCCTCAACTTTCTATGGAAAGCCACAAGTTTCTGAATAAATAAAACAATGCTAAAATAAAATAAGTAGAATTTTCATGTCCTAATTTTAGAATACTTTAAAGCTACAGTGATCAAAACAGCCTGGTACTAGCTTAAACAAGAGACATAGACCAATGGAATACAATTGAGAGTCTAGAAAATTAACCCCATACTTCACAATCAATTGAGTTTTGGCAAAGATGCTAAGTCCATTCAATAAGCAAAGAGAAGTCTCTTCAATAAAATCTCTAAAAAGTGTCTTAAGGACATAGAGCAAATGAAGAAATATTTATGCAAAATTACCTTCCAAAACTTGTTAAGACAGCAAGAGTCTCTTCCTCAGCCCCCAAATCAAGGTTATTGTATTTGATTAGGAGGTTACCAGCATTTCTCATCAACTCCAACTCCATATAAAGAGGCTAAGTTACCGCTGAGTAAAGCTGAGATACTGAGAACACCTCAGCAATAGAATATAGGCTCCATCCTAGGCTCAGAAGGCTGAGAATACTGGAATCTTCAATATCCTTGTCTCAGCCTGCTCCTAAGTCACAGGTTTTATGTTGTGAAAGGTGATCTGAAAAGAATAGAGACTACCACTATGCAAAGTATCCAGGTTAGTGGCACAGAGATTTTGTTCAGAAGAGGCAGTTCATAAGAGATGTTTTCCCCAAACGTACCAACTTATATGAAACAGAATGTAAGTTCATGCCAAGGGGTGCTATCAAAACCAATATACCAAACACAAACAAACAAACACAAAAACCAACAAAGCCATTGCCATCAAGTAAATTCTGATGGCACAGTGACTCTATAGGATAAAGTAAAACTGCCCCTTAAGGATTCCAAGGCTGTAGATCTCCATGGAAACAGATGACCACATCTTCCTTGCATAGAACAGCTGTTGGGTTCCAATAATCAAGGATTGGGGCATAGTTTAGCACTTAAACCACTTTGCACCAATGAATTGATACATTTGATTTAAGGGATTGGAGAAGAATATTAAAAGTACCATGAACTGCCAGAACAAACAAACCTGTATTGGAAAGGGTATAGTGAGAATTCTCCTTGGAAGCCAGGATGTCCACATTTTATCTGTGATACTTTATATATATTATCAGAAGGGACCAGTTCCTGAAGAAGGACATCATACTTGATAAAGTGGAGGGACACAGAAAAAGAGGGAGACCGCTAACAAGATGGATTAGCACCATGGCAGCAATAAAGGGCTCAAGTGAGCAGCAATTGTGAGGAAGGTGCAAGACTGAGAGATGTTTTGTCCAATGTTTGGTTCTTTTGTGCCTACCTTATAACACTTAACAAAAACAATCATAAAATACAGTACAAAAGTATCAATCTTTCTTTTCTTAGTGACTTAGAAAGCAATTGTTTGTAGCAATGTGTACAGAACTGTCTTTGGCTAACAGAAATAAACTGCATTTGAAAATACCAGCATAAAGAAGGTGCACTGGAACAGAATTGCATTAGAGTAAGAAATAACACCAGATAGAAACTCAAACCCACAGAAACAAATGACAAGTACGAGAAATGGTTAACAGTAATGTAAATATAACAAACTTAGCAAATAGACACAAAAAACAGACATAAAAGTATACAAATAATTATAACAATGTGTTGAGCTTGTAACCTACATGTGACATGCACACTAATAGCAAAAAAGGGGGGAAAGGTACACAGAGCTCTAAAGAGTATTGTTTTTATATCTAACTAGAATTATATTAGTATAAATGTGAAATAGATTTTGATAAGCCAAAATGTGTATCATACACCCAAAGAGGAACTTACAGGAAAATTAACTTTTAAAACACAGTAAAAAAATAACTAAAGGAATCAAAATGTTACACAAGAATATGTTTATTTAAGTAGTAATAGAAAAAATGCCCTGCCCTAGAGTCAATTCTGACTCATACTGACCCTGTAAGCCAGAACTGTCTCTCTGGGTATCTGAGATTGTAAACCGTTTCCTAAGTATGGCACTAATCAGGGAAGACTTAACCATAAATCCAAACCAAATCCACTGGCATCTAAGCAATTCTGACAGCCTGCGCTTTTATTAGCTTGCCTTTTAAATTTGGAAAAAAACAAATGTATTACTTCTTTAGACTGATATGAAAAATTACATGCCTAATGTCATTCAATTTCATAAACACCCCAAGAAGAGCTAAACGTAGAGCATACCATATGCTCCTACTCCTATAAGTACTTTAAAAAAATCAAACATTACTTTGAACTTTCTATACTATTTCCTACTTATCTTTTATTTCACATTTTCATTTTAAATCCATAACTTAAATTTTTTTTTAATCTTTATCCTTTCAATTTTATGGAATACTTTGAAAATTAGTATTTGCCTAATAATATCATTAAAAATATGCAGTAAAAATTCCTTAATGCATAATAATGGGCACAAGGAGAAAATAAGGGTTAAAGAAAAGCTATTTATAAACTTCTTGAATACTTTCCAAATTATTTATGATTCATTATGAATGACAAAGACATTTATTTAAAAATAGTTTATGGAATTTTTGATGAACATTTACAAAGCAAATTAGGTTTCCATTTAACAATTTCCACATGAATTGTTCTGTGACATTAGATACATTTATCAAAGGTGTCAATATTCTCTGTGTTGAGTTGGTTCCCTTTCCAGTATTCTAGTTGACCCCTATCTTCTCATCTTTGCTTTTGAACAACTGTTGAACTTTTGGTCTCACATTGATGGCGTTTAAGCAGGGCACTGATCTTATGGCTGATACTCTTTATCTTGTGCGCCACTCTGTTAGTTTGCTAAAAGTTGATCTGAGACCACAAACTTGCTTTTAGGTTTTAAGAGCATCTCAGGGACTCCTCTATTTTCTACTATTTCCAATTTGTCTAGCCTTTATGTTAAAAATTAATAAATAAGGGTCTGAGTTCTGCTCTACATTTTTCTCCCATTCTATCCAAGATCAACTACTGTAACCTTGGCCTGAAATGACAACAATCCAGGGTCAACTACAATAACCCTGGTTGGAAGGTTCGGTGCTGAAAGATGGGCACTATCTAGTTCTGCTGGTCTCAGGGTAAATGAGGTTGTGTCTCATGTAGGCTTGTTTCTTCTCTGCACTTTTGGTTAACTTCATACTGTTTTGCTCATGGCAAGTAGACCTACGGTTGTGTCTTACTTAGCCACTTGCAAGCTTTTAAGGCCCCAGATGCAATGTACATCACTAGGATGTAGATCATGTTTTTTTTTGTTAACAATAGCATGCCAATTGACTGAGAGATGTCCCCTAAGACTATATATAGTCTTAAGCTTTCAAACCCAGGAAATCAATACTGGAACAAACACTGTTTGATTATGTCTGAGGAGTATTTGTATTTGGAATATTTTTTTTCATGTCAAAGAATATTAGATACATTTATTTCAAGTCATAAATTCAAACTAAAGGCTTACTTATTATTTACTGCTTATTCAAAATTAAGAAAAAACATATTTATAACTCAATATGATAGCCACTTTCTGAAGAATAACATTCTTATTCATGCTATCAAAATTTTTCCTATGGACTATGGGCAGAGTGTAAAGTTACACTGTGCTACAAAGTGTTACAGGCAACTTTCAGTTTAATAGTTTGAGTAACATGAATAAAGACATACAGATACATTATTTTTTAAAACTAGGGTTATTTTCTCTGGAAAGTTAGCTTGCAGATGAAAAGAAGAAACCCAAATCCGCATACTGTAAGAGCTGTCCTCTTCAAAAGTCTACTATTCCATGAAGATACTTCTTCCACTGATGGTATATGAGTTGGATCATTTTCCCGTTCATTTTGCAACTAATATTTAGTAGGGAAAAATAAGAGATCACATGAAATACACTGGAAATAAAAATACCTTTACTTTGAAAAATATACTAATGTTAATTCACTTGGTTGTGATCTAGGCAACTCAAGATTGAAAGGGAAATTTAAAGTGAACACATGAAACGGTCTTTCTCTTAACCGAATCCCATTATGCTGAATTACCAGTATCACACTAAAACTTAATGTTTTCATATATTATCCCATTATACAATGGTGTTTTATATAACAAAATTCTGTTATTGTTATGTTGCATCGGTTCTGACTCATAGGGAACCTAATACAGGGTTTTCAAGAAGCAGCTGGTGTGCTTGAACTGCCAACCCTGTGGTTCACAGTCCACTGCTGATCCTACAGCACCACACCTGGAGTCCATATAATGAGATACTGTTTCTTAATGCAAGTTTAAAGTTTCTATTTCTATATATAAGGAATAATATTATTTTATCAATTGGTATCTTAGAAAAAATTGAGTCATTCTTTGTTCTTGTTGTTAAATGTTGTCAAATTGGTTCCGATTCACAGCAACCCTGTATAGGGTTTCCAAGGATTGGCTGGTGGGTTTGAACTGACAACCTTGAGGTTAGCAGGCCAGTGCTTATGTTACAGCGCTAAACCAGGACTCCATTACAAATATACAATGCATGAAATTTAACAAAAACTAGATGATCAGATACTAATGTAGGAAAAGTCTAAGCTTTTACTTAAATATAATTGCAGAAACAAAGCTAAACAAAAATTTATGTGACTTTTTAACATCAAAAGTACATGTCCCAGTTAGTTTCAAAATCTTATATGTGGAAATTTCGTGTTAAGAAAGCACACTCCTCATCCCACTGTTTTTGTGTGTTAGGGTATGGTGTGCGTGAGAGACACAGAGAGAACAATATGGTTGTTGGGGGTGGGTCAGGAAAGAGAATGAGCAGAAACTGAAAGACCTTTCAAAGATTAAAAAAAGAAACAGGCACATTTATAGAGTGGTATTTACTAGAAACATCCTGTGTTGGATAGGCAATATAAGTACTTTCAACATTAGCAGGATAATTCACTTCTAAAATCTACAATGTAAATACTTAATTAAAAAAGCCTAAAAATATATTTAAATTTATAGCAGAAAAAAAGGAATTCAATGCCAATCTCATTAATACTGTAATCTTGGTCTGACTCCCAAATGGCTTCATTCAGCAACAGATTCCTTTTTGACAGTGATGCTCCATTTACTGAATCCTGAAACAGTCATTCCTTTTATTAGCCAATTACTTCAAATGACCCTTTCTGACAAGAGCCTGCCAGTGTGTTGGTTTGGATGAGAGTGATGTGGTGTTAAAGTCTAGCCTTGACCTCTCCCACCCTCTCTCTTTGTCACCTCCATACAGTTGTCTGTGATAACTGATGTTTCTTTTCTTTTTTTAAAAAAAATCTCCATCACCTACTATTGGTAAACTCTGAAATATAAAAAGGTTACTAGGCATGGTAGCATAACCCCAAATCTGGAAGCTCTCGTAGTTCCCTAAATCAAATGTCATTAAAGTGATTATTACTTGTAATGAACCAAGCAAAACCATTCCACTAACTTGTTCCAAAATTAAGACTTTCCTGCTCAAAGAACTGGGTTTGCCATTATCACAGACCAATAGATGTATTTTCAATTAAGATCTTATAGGGAAACAGAAAAATTCAAAGAAAAGGTCACAGAAAGAAGGTCTTCCATTTAGCTAAAGAAGAAGAAAATTCTCTTTTCAAGTAAGCATTGTTAAAATAAACATGGAACCTGACTGGATTATGTTTTAGAGTCAGTCGGCTCTTAAAATAGCATCGATTAATTTTATTTAAAAAATCTAATTTTCTCAAATTAATTTTTTATCAACCTTCTATCTCCACACTTCATGTTTATAGCTCATCTCTGAGAAAACAAATAGTTCATTATATATCATTATAGATATGACTTAGGGATACAGGAAGTGTGTACTGTTCCAGATTTCCCTTATTGTTGCTAGGTACCATCGACTTGGTACCGACTCATAGTGACCTTATGCACAACAGAACAAAACCCTGCCCGGTCCTGTGCAAACCTTATAACTGTTGCCACGCTTGAGCCCACTGATGCTACCACTTGGCCAATCCATCTCGCTGGGGGGTCTTCCTCTTTTTTTCTCTGACCCTTCACACCTTATCAAACGTGATATCCTTCTCCTGCAATAGTCCCCCCTGACAATATGTCTGAAGTATGAGAGATGAGATTTGACCACCCTGGTCAAAGGAGCACTCTGGCTGCACTTCTTGCAAAATGGATCTATTGGTTCTTTTGGCAGCCCATGGCACTTTCAATATTTTCCTCCAACACCTTAACTCAAAGGCATCAATTCTTCTACAGTCTTCTTTATTCACTGTCCAGCTTTCGCATGCATTTGAGATTACTGAAAATACCAAGGCTTGGGTCAGGCGCACTTTAATCCTCAAGCTGACATCTTTGCTCTTCAACACTTTAAAAAGATCTTGTGCATCTGATTTGCCTAATGCAATACGTCGTTTGATGTCTTGACTGCTGCTTCCATGAATGTTGATGGTTGATCCAAGACGAATGAAGTCCTTGACAACTTCAATCTTTTCTCCATTGTTAAGAATGTTGTTTATTGGTCCAGTGGTGAGGATTTGTTTTCTTTACATTACTGAGATGCAACCCATACCAAAGGTTGTGCTCTTTGATCTTCATCAGTAAGTATTTTAAGTCCATTTCACATTCAGCAAACAAAGTAGTATCATCTGCATATCTCAGGTTATTTATTAACGAGAGTCTTCCTCTAATCCTGATGTCACATTTTTCTTCATAGAACCCAGCTTCTTGGATTATTTGCTCAGCATACAGGTCGAATAAGTATGGTGAAAGAATACAACCCTGTCACACACCTTTCTTAATTTTAAATCATTCATGGACAGATTCCTCATGAGCACAATTAAGTGTTCTGAAATACTCATACTTTGCAATGCTGTCCATAGCTTGTCATGATCCACACAATCAAAAGCCTTTGCGTAGTCAATAAAGCACAGGGAAACATCTTTCTGGTATTCTCTGCTTTCAGCCAAGACCCATCAGACATCAGAAATGAGATCCCTCATTCCACATTTTCTTCTGAATCTGGCTTGAACCTCTGAAGTTTTCTGTCAATGTATGCTTACAGCCATTTCTGTATTATCTTTAGTAAAACTTCACTCACATGGGGTATCAGAGATATTGTATGATAATTTAGCATTTCGTTGGGTCACCTCTCTTTGGAATGGGCACAAATACGGATCTTTTACAATTATTTGGCCAGAGTGTTGCCTTCCATATTTCTTGGCAAAGACGAGTGACTGCCTCCGGTGCCAGCTCATTTTCTTGAAAGATTTCAATTTTTATTCCATCAATTTCTGGTGCCTTGTTCTTTGCCAATTCCTTCAATGCACCTTGGACTTCTTTCCTTCAGGATCATTGGCTCTTGATCATATGCTACCTCTTGAAACGGCTGAACAGCAAACATTTCCTTTTGGTACAGTGACTCTGTGTATTTCTTCCATCTTCTTTTGATGCTTTCTGCATTATTAAATAATTTTCCCAGAGAATCCTTCAGTAACGAAAAGTCAAGACTTGATTTTTCTCTTCTGTTCCCCCAGCTTGAGAAATGTTGAGTGTGTTCTTCCTTTTTGGTTTTCTGACTCCAGCTCTTTGCACATTTCGTTTAATATTTGACTTTGTCTTCTTGAGCTGACCTTTGAAATTTTTTCTGTTCAGCTCTTGTACCTCCTCATTTCTTCCATTTGCTTAGCATCTCTACGCTGGAGAGCCAGTTTCAGAGTCTCTTCTGACATCCATTTGTCTTTTCCTCCTTTCTTGTCTTCTTAATGACTTTTTTGCTTTCTACCTGTATGATGTTCGTAATGTCATCCCACAACTCTTCTGGTCTTCAGCCTTTAGTGTTTAATGTATCAAATCTGTTGTTCAGATGATCTGTAAACACTAAAGACTGAAGACCAGAAGAGTCATTCCTGAATAACAGCAGCTCAAAGCCACCACAGTCCAACAAACTGACAGATGAGTAGTGGCAAAATTCCCTTGGCTCGCTATAAAAATTACCATGTTAAGTAAAATAAATATTATTTTCTTTAAATTCTTCCAGATGAGTTGGGCATACCCACTGATACTACTATCAAGCTGATTCCAACTATTAGAAACCTGACATAGGGTTTCCCAAGCTGTAAATCTTTACAGGAGAAGGAAGTCTCCTCTTTCTCCCATAGATCTGTTGGTGAGTTTGAACTGCAGACCCTGGGGTTAGCCATCCAGTGCTTACCCCAAAGCACCACAGAACTAGAAATGTTTTGTTAGTAACTTCAGCTTCTATTTCTCGTGTGTAGTAGTAGTTGACTTAATGCTTGTTGAATGAATACATGTCAGAGATCACACAACTTCTAAAATGCCTCTTGAAAGGAGCTATTTTCTGCATGAATTTTTAAACATTTTCCCATATGTTTTGTCTAAAAAATGCGCCCCCATTGTTTTATAGAATTTTTGTCCCAGTTTTCTTCTCACTTAAAAGAACTTCTTTT